TAGCGGCCCCTTCGCGGCCCCCTAGCGACCCCGCCCCGTCGCCAGTCGCGGCCCTGCCCCGTCGCCACCCGGGTGTCGCCCCTGCCTCGTCGCGACGCCTCAGCGGGACCCGCGCGTCGCCCCTGCCTCGTCGCGACGCCCCTGCGGGACCCGCGAGGCGCGGCTCCTGCGCGTCGCGACGCCCCAACGGAACCCGGGCGTCGCCCCCGCTCGTCGCGACGCCCCTGCGGGACCCGCGCGGCGTCGCCTCTGCCCGGCGCGGCGCCCTGCCCTAATCCGCGCCCGACCTTCGGACGGCCGCCCCTGCCCCTGCCCCTTGCAGCAGCTGCCCCTGCAGCAACCGCCCTTGGCCCCTGGAGCAGCCGCCCCTGCAGCAGCCGCCCCTAGCCCCTGGAGCAACCGCACCTGCAGCAGCCGCCCCTGGCCACTGGAGCAGCCGCCCCTGCAGCACCCGCTTCTGGCCCCTGGGGCAACCGCCCCTGGCCCCTGGGGCAGCCGCCCCTGGCCCCTGGAGCAGCCGCCCCTGCAGCAGCTGCCCCTGGCCCCGGGAGGAGCCACCCCTGCAGAAGCCGCCCCTGGCCCCTGGAGCAGCCGCCCTTGCAGTTGCCGCGGAGCCCTTGCCCTGCAGTGGTAGCGGCCTGGCCGTTGCCGCCGTCGTACACCTGCCCTTCTCGCCACTAGTGAGCACGGCCCTGCCCGTACTGCTGTTACTGCTGCTCCTACTGCTACTACTCTTTCTACTGCTACTGCTGCTCCTGGCGTGGCCAGATGCAGCTCCAGTGCCGTCCGCGTGAGTCCCTGACGCCCCAACAGCTTCGTGAGTGGTACGCTAGTTGGGGTTGTAGAGGTGGCCGCGCTGCTACTACTCCTACTGCTACTACCGCTGCAACTGCGGCTACTACTACTACTGCTGCTACTGCTGCTACTGCGGCTACTATTGCTACTGCTACTCCTCACGGTGGCCAGCTGTAGCTCCAGCGACGTTCGCGTGAGTCCCTCCCGCCCCAGCAGCTTCGTAAGTGGTACGCTAGTTGGGGTTGTCGGGGTGGCCGTAGTGGGAGAAGTCATAGAGTGAGTAGTTCGGGAGCTACTTGTAGTGGCCAGGTGCAGCTGCAGCGTCGTCCGCGCGAGACCCTTTCGCCCCAGCAGCTTCGCGAGTGGTACGCTCAGAGTAGAGGGTCACTGAGTAGTGCTCGATGCCCGTACGTCATTTGCACGGGTGTCCGGACTGGTCAGCCTTGCGGGATTCCTGGTCACACAGAGTCCCGCTGCTTCGCCCGTCTGAGCGTCGCTTGGCGTATAGAGTTTGGCGACGACGCTCAGCTCCCCTCTTGGCTGGAGCTGCTTAGGCAGAGGGTAGATATCTTTGCTCTTGACTATGATGCTCTTCTCACTGCAATGTATGCATTGTCTACTAGTGCTGAGGGTGCCTGTCACCTGTGTGTGCCGTCTGACCCCGGTATCCAGTCTGCTGCTCTAGGTGCTGGTGAGGCTGCTGCTCTAGGTGCTCGTGCGTCTCCTGCTCCAGGTGTCGTGAGGCTGCTGCTCTAGGTGCTAGTGAGTCTCCTGCTCCAGGTGATGGTGAGTCTGCTCTCTCTGGTGCTGCGCCTGCTGCGGTCTTGCACACCTTCACCCTTGAATCGGGTGCTTCCCGCTCCGTCTTTTGAGACCGCACCACCCTCACGCCGCTTAGTCGGCCGGTTGCAGTCTCCCTGGCAGACCCCTCTGGGGGTCCTGTCCTTGCTCACTACTCCACTGTCCTACCGTGTCCGGCGGCCCCGTCTGGCTCCCTGTAAGGAGTTTACCTCCCCTCGTTCTCTACGAACTTGGTGAATGGTGCTGACCTGCAGGATGGAGGGGTGGACCAGTTCACTCCTGCGAGTCAGCGAGTGACCCACTACACGTGTGCTCGGACGGGCCGACACTTGGCCACGTTTACCCGTCAGCCGGGGTCGAGCCTGTACACACTGACTACTGAGTCTCCTTAGATTACTGCGTCTGGTCAGGTTGCTGCGTCGGGTCAGGTGTCTGCTGCAGCGTCTCGGTCTGTACTTGAGTCTGCCCCCTGCTCGTGTCGCCTCCTGTCCCACCAGACTCTCCTCTGGAACCACCGCCTTGGTCACCCCTCCCTGCCTCGTCTCCGAGGCATGGCCTCCCGTGTCCTTGTCTCTGGTCTCCCCAGGTCCCTCCCTCCCCTTCTTCCGGGGCGTGCCCCTACCTGCGTTCCCTGCGTCAAGGGACGGCAGCGCGCCGCTCCTCACTCCTCCGAGTTTCCCCCGACAGTGGCTCCGCTGCAGACTCTCCTCATGGACGTGTGGGGCCCCGCCCGCGTCCGTGGACAGGGTCATGAGCGTTACTTCCTGCTGGTGGTTGACGACTACTCGCGTTACACCACAGTCTTCCCCTTGCGCAGCAAGGGTGAGGTCACTGAGGTGTTGATCGATTGGATCCGCGCTGCTTGTCTCCAGCTCAGAGAGAGTTTCGGCTCGGACTTTCCTGTTCTGCGTCTGCACTCAGACAGAGGTGGAGAGTTTTTCTCCGACCTTCTACGAGCCTTCTGTCGTGCACGAGGCATCCGCCAGACGTTCACGCTTCCGGCCTCTCCACAGCAAAATGGGATTGCTGAGCGCCGCATTGGCATGGTCATGGACGTCGCTCGTACGTCCATGATCCATGCGGCTGCTCCCCATTTTCTGTGGCCGTTCGCGGTTCAGTACGCGGCGCATCAGATCAACCTTCAGCCCTGGGTCTCCATGCCGGAGACCTCCCCTGCTTTGCGGTGGACAGGGAAGGTTGGCGATGCGTCTGCATTCCGTGTCTGGGGATCTCGAGCTTTCGTCCGCAACTTGTCTGCGGACAAGCTGTCCTCTCGTGCTGTTCCCTGCGTCTTCCTTGGCTTCCCCCCTGACGCGCCTGGTTGGCTGTTTTACCACCCCACCTCGCGCCGTGTTCTGTCCTCTCAGGACCTCACGTTTGACGAGTCGGTTCCCTACTACCGTCTCTTCCCCTAACGCATTGCTTCCCTTCCCCCCCCGCCGCTCTTCCTCGCACCAGGTCCCCCCCCGGTAGACCCCCTCCCCCCCCAGGGTCCTGCTTCATCAGGTGTGTCCCAGGTAGATGCGGTCGAGCCTGTCGAGGTAGCTGTTGACTCTGGTGCTGCTAGGGGTGCTGAGCCTGCGGGTGCTGGGTCTAGGGGTACTGAGCCAGAGCGTGCGGAGCCTTGGGTTGCTGGGAGTTACGGTGGCTCACCTACCTACTGACTGACCAGGGAGAGCCGCCTCGTTCTCTTCCAGTTCTGTACATAGACAACAAGGCCATGCTGGCCTTGTGTTAGGAGCACCAGACTGGAGCACAGAACAAAGCACATTGCTCTTCACTACTTCCTTGCTCGTGAGCTACAGCAAGGTGGTCAGCTGCGCCTTGCTTACGTGGCCTCTCGAGCCAACACTGCTGATATCTTTACCAAGGCACTTCAGCCTTGTGATCATCAGCGCTTTTGTACGATGCTAGGTCTTGTGCCTACTTGGCCTCACTTGCTCACTTCTTGACTTTGCTTGTACTGTGATCTATATATACCTGCACTTGCATGCTTACCCTTGCTAGGTTTTGGTCACTGCCTTGCTTGTTCACCTTGATATATAGCTCTGCATGTGAATTGGCCTTGTGGCCCTGTGCTTGTGCTCAGATTGTGTGGTGACGTTGTGATCCACCCTGAGCTTGCCTTGCTTTGCTTGACCGGTCTTGTGACCTCTTGTTCTCCCCCACTTTGCCTATGGGGGTGTGTCAAACATACATGACATAGTCTGTGTAGGTTGTAGTGGGGTAGACCATATGGGGTAAAACATTGCTAGGTTTCACTATTTGTACCCATCTCGTTGCTAGTTCAATCATTCCTCTTTCTTCACATGTACCGGGCCACCGCAAGAGCGAATGCCGAGAGGAACCAAGGCGCCGTGGAGCAGAGCAGTGGACGGACTCTCAGAGGCAGGGAAACACCAGCAGTCAGTAGAAAACGGGCCAACTACTGACGAGATTACCTGCTCGCCCAACCTCACCGACCCTCACCGAGTCACAGTACCGATTCACGCCATCGATCGTGCTCGGATGAATAACGAGGGTACAGCGACGGATTGCCCAGTACTAATCAACGGGAAAATACAGGGAGCAACAGTAAAGATATATATAGATGGAGGGGCAAGTCACAGTTTAGTTAATGTCGCGACTGCATGGAAACTACAGCTGACACTTAGTTGGTGTTTACCAGAGATAGATGCATGCTTAGTCGATAGCACGCCTCTGGCTATATGGGAGAAAGTGGAGAGAGTAAAAGTCCGCTGCCAAGGGAACTTCGGGTTTACACAGGAAATGCTCGCGACGACACTCGATGGGCACGACATTTTACTGGGACATGATTGGCTGCGACGATACAGCCTACGAATTGGCTGGACGACGGGTAGCTGCACTGTGCGAAGTAGCGGTAATTGGGTCGAATTACCTCACTGGCAATCGATTAGTCCGTATCGAAAATGACAGCCTCGAGCTCGCCGCCATGGCTGCCTACCGATTCCCTGGAACTCACATCGCGTGAAGCATGTTCGTCAGTTGGCTTTAATTTAACCAGCATTGGATTCGCTACACTCTTACAAAGAAGACTATATCATTCATGTGTTCATCAGGCGAACATTGATCGGCCTTCTCAAGGGTGTCTTTCACTGGTTGAAGCTTCTAAGCTCGATGCTAACGCGTGGCTCCCTAGGTTCTGGTTCACTGTCAAGGAACAACCTAAGCTATCTACCATTGGCTACGCTGATGCTGTGCAACGGGATGATCCCAAAGGGATATCTTCGGCTTTGCAACACCTTTGCCAAGAGCATTGGTCAACCACAGAAGACTTTCTGCTATTTAACAATGAAGTGCTAAGACGACCGGCTCATCAGTTTATTCAGATCTCACTGCTCTTGTTACAAGAGCTTCTGCCGGATTACTGTCACCATCGCACGATGCCTCCGAAGAACTCGCGTGCTAAGCCCGTGGTTGATGCTCCTGCTGGTGGGAGTGATCCTGCAGGCAAGACATCGCCAAGCAAGGGAAAGGAGATTGTTGATAATATTCCGTCGGAAGTAGAGGTGACGGCTGGCAGCTCCGGACTTACTCTTGAAGAGAAGCTGAAGGCGCTGGCGACGGTGGTCTCGGATGATTCCTTCATCGAAGATGATTCGGATGAGGAGCTCGACATTGACGCGACTAAGAGCTCTTACCCGCATCTGCGTTTCACGGCGATCCTGATCTTCTCGGTTATCCCCTCTCGGGAGGTTGCTTCGGTCATTCTGACAGTGAAGACGCTGATGAAACGCGTTTGGTCTAACCTGCTTACTGATGATGTTCTTGCTTCGGTGAAGTTCCAGGAGCTGCTTCCTGCCATCGTCGCCAAGACCCGCTACAGTCGGCTTCAGGTTTCATTCCTGCACGAATCGGACGCGGTGAACATCAAGCAGACTACGGTGGAGCATAAGCGTCAGAACGGCACGACGCTCTACTGTTTCTGGCTGCATCAGGAAGACGCGGCTTACCTTCGCAAGAAGGCTTCGAGCCCGCAGCTGCTGGAGGTTTTCTTCAAGAACGTACCTGCTGACATCCCGCCGGAGTTGGTTAAGGAGATCATGGTGGCTCACCCGCTCAAGATCCGGAAGCAGTCTGCCTTCGCCGAAGGCCATTGCTTCCACCGTGTCCTGCACCCGGTTACTGGAGCTGATACTGACAAGATTAAGGGTTTGGTGATTCAGCACGCTGGCGACAAGCACCGCTGGCGTCATGAGATCCGTCACCAGCTGCTGGGAGGAACGACCCTGTTGGCTCACTTCCCGTTGCTATCCTGCGCGCTCTATGGTGGACACCATTATGACAAGTTTCATAATGCTTTCATCATGGAGCGTCAAAATAACATAGGGAAGTGGAGTTTAGCTGTGGGACGGGTTCATAGGATCAATGGTAACTGCATCTTACCTTTTTTCGGGTTGTCGCTTTGCTTTACCTGTCTTGACGGTTACTGACGCGCCGCTTGCCTCTCGCAACTGCCTCTCTCCGCGCTTCCGCGCTCACCACCCTGCTGCTGCTAGACGCGGCTTTTGTGCTGATCTCCATGGGAAGCAACCGGGAGGAGTGGCTGTGTACTCTCGAATGTTGCGGGAAGGTCCATGGCAAGTCCTTCATGGTGGCGGCAGACCATATCACATCGGCAAGTCACCTGCTGGGGCTGGAGAAGCTGGGTGCGGCCACTCGCGGTTCCCTAAAGAGGCTCGGTCTGCATGTCATCCGCAAGGAGTTCGGGATCTGAGATGGCTTATAGTTTCCGGCCTGTGGTGGAGTAGAGCAGCTGCCGTAGATGATTGTCGTGTGGTTGTTTTCGTTAGTTTCACCAGCCTGTGGATGCGGAGAGGCTTTCCAGCAGTGATTAAATGAGTAACAAGAGTCTCTTGTCAATGGCGGGCCTGAATGTCAATGGCCTGGGAGATGGGAACAAGCAACAACTCACGAAAACATGGTTAAAACAAGCTGCTGATGTCACAGTACTCGCAGACGCCAGACTCGCGGATGATCACCCATACTGGAAGTTGTTAACTCACCCGTCGGTTCTCGTTGCCTCCCCAACTGCAAAATCCGGGGGAGTGGCCTTGGTTTGTCGCAGGCATGGGCTCTCGCTACATAATACACTCATTCTCCCGTCAGGAAGACTCAATAGGACAAACATCCATCTGGACGCCTTCCACGTCACCCTGCTGGCAGTATACTTCCCGGCGGACGTGACGGACAGGAAACACTTTATCAGCAGGGTGCTGAGGCCGGTGGTTGACGCGGTGCACCCTGGGGCTCACCTGCTTATAGTGGGGGATTTCAACCTAGTGGAGGACCCGATACTGGATAGGCGTCAAAGAAAGGGACATCGAAGGAGAATGATGTTCTGTACCAGCGGTGCAGTGTGCTCAACGTGCCGGATGCTTTCAGAGTGCTGCACCCCTACAGGAGGGAGTTTACCTTTTACTCGTGTGCTAATCAGTCCAGCTCACGAATCGATCGGGTGCTTGTCTCACAGTCGCTGCTGTCGCACGTGGAGTTTGCCTCGCATATCATGCCAGCAGATCCCATCTCGGATCACAGCTTCGCGGTGAAGGCAGCTTTCCGGAGGAATACGAAGGTGCAGATGGGACCAGGCCTCTGGAGGCTCCCTGCATATTTGATCGGGAGACCAGGGGTCAGAAAGGTCATCGAGGTGGTAGAGAAGCAAGTGGCAGCAAATGGCGATGATTTCGAGTTGTTGCTGTCCAGGTTAAACGCCGGGCTCAGAGCGTACGCGATGGAGGAGAGGAAGCACATCAGGGCCACGATGGCTCACCTTCAGCGCACGGTCGCTGACTTGAAGCAGGCCTGGCTGGGTGACCCGAGCTGTGCTCGGCTGAAGGAGTTGCTGGACGAGAGGGAGGCGCAGCTGAAAAGTTATCGGCTGGCACGGCAAGAGAGGCTGCATGTGATGGCTGGAGTGAACGAGTTGGTCATGGGGGAGGTGGCTTCCCCGCACCTGTCTGCGAAAATAAGATCCAGGAAGGAGAAGACATAGATCAAGGAGTTAAGCGCCGGGGGGGTTCTGGTCACTGGAAACAAGGAGATCCTAGGCGTGGCTTCTCAATTCTACAGAGACCTCTTCGGGACGGACAGACAGAAGGCCTTGACAGACTGGCAGCCGGTTGATGGAAGGGTCTTGTCGCCGACGGCACGAGAGAGGGTGGCGGCGGATTGGTAGGAAAAGGAGGTGCAGCAGGCCTTTCGAAGTCATTACGGACGCAAGCGACATCGCCATCTGAGCAGTCCTGTTACAGGATTTCGGCAACGGCCTCCAGCCCATCGTGTACGAATCACGGAAGCTGCACCCGCTCGAGAAGAAATACCCGATACACGACCGCGAAATGCTTGCGATCGTGCACGCTTTCAAAGTGTGGCGCTATTACTTGACCGGAGCCGACATGAATATACGGACAGATCACAAGTCACTACAGTACCTCCGCGCACAGCCAAACCTCAACCCACGTCAGGTTCGCTGGCTCGATGTCCTCGAGTCAAATTTTCACCACATGGTCATCAACAAAAAGGAGCATCCAACATCGCCGACGCACTGACCCGCCCCAGTGCCCAAATTCATGCCATACTACTCACCCAGACTAGCCCCCTACTGACGGTACTATTTTTCCACGACCCATTCTTCAAACCAGGCAATTTGCAGCAGTTCGCAGCAGCAAAAGGAGTCTATTACGTAAAAGCCTGCACCGACCGCATCTAAGTGCCAGGGTATACCTTGCTAAGGGAGCTATTATAACAGGAGGCACACGACGACATTACCTTGGGCCATTTCGGGGTAGAAAAAACACGGCAGCAGCTGCAGCGGTATTACTGTGAAAGAACGAGGAATGAATGAACTAGCAAGCAGGTGCGTACAAGTAGGAAAACCTAAAAGAGTTGTACCCCATATTGTCTACCCCACTACAGCCTACACAGACTACAGCATATAAGTTTGACACACCCCTATAGGCAGAGTGGGGGAGAACAAGAGGTCACAAGGCAAGCAAAGCAAAGCAAGCACAGGGTGGATCACAACGTCACCACACAGTCCGAGCACAAGAGCAAGGCCACAAGGCCAGTTCACTTGCAATATCATATATCAAGGTAAACAAGCAAGTGCAGGTATAGAAAGATCACAGTACAAGCAAAGTCAAGAAGTGAGCAAGTGAGGCCAAGTAGGCACAAGACCTAGCATCGTACAAAAGCGCTGATGATCACAAGGCGGAAGTGCCTTGGTAAAGATATCAGCAGTGTTGGGCTCAGAGGCCACGTAAGCAAGGCGCAGCTGACCACGCTACTGCAGCTCACGAGCAAGGAAGTAGCAAAGAGCAATGTGCTTCGTTCTGTGCTCCAGTCTGTGCTCCCAACACAAGGCCAGCATGGCCTTGTTGTCTACGTACAGAACTGGAGGAGAACGAGGCGGCTCTCCTAGGTCAGTCAGCAGGTAGGTGAGCCAGCGTAGCTCCTGTGCAGCCATGGCCCCCGCGTAGATCTCACCCTCACAGCTGGAGCCGAGAACAGAAGACGAGCGGATAGACCGCCACGAAACAGAGCCGGAACCAAGGCTGAAGGTGTAACCCTATGACGACCGCTGCGTAGCCTGGTCGTCAGCCAAAGAAGCGTCTGCGTGACCTGTGAGGACCACTCGACGTCGCCCTCCAAGCACTAGCCCCATGCCCGACGTACTGCACAAGTAGCGCAACACCCTCTTCGCTGCAGCCATGTGCTCTGGTCGGTGTCTCCCAGGAGCAACATAGCGTGCCAAGATGCTAAGAGGGTATGCAAGGTCAGGTCGTGTGCAGGTCATCAGGTACATGAGGCAGCCAAGAAGCTCTGGGTACGGGCCACTCGGCTCTACGGACTCATCCGAAGGCATAGCTGAGAGCGAGTGGCGAGTAGATAGAGCGAGTGGCGAGTAGATAGAGGAGTGGCCTGAGGCGAGGAGTACGTGAAGTCAAAGTGTTGAAGGACCTGCTGCACCATGTGTGACTGAGTCAGGGTAATGGTGCGCTGTGCTCTGTCCCGGGTGATCTACAAGCCAAGGTAGCTGCGCAGTTCACCCAGGTCTGTGCACGTGTGTCTCTTCTGCAGCCCGGACTTCACGTGGGCTAGTCCAGCAGTGTCAGCAGTGGCAAAGACCAAGTCGTCGACGTACACGAGGATGTAGAACGGCAGCAAAGAAGTGTCGGTGCGCAAAAACAGCGACGGGTCGGCAGTAGAAGGAGCAAACCCAAGAGCCGCAAGTGTAGTCCTCAGTGTGTCGTGCCACTCACGGGGCGCCTAACGGAGACCGTAGACTGGCCGTTGGAGGCTCCACTGGGTACCAAGAGGAAACGACCCAGTGAAGCCAGGTGGGCGGCGCAGCCAGATCTCCTCGTGCAGGCTGCCCTGCAGGAAAGTTGTGCTGAAGTCAAGAGAGTGAAGCTCGTAGTCTCGCTGAGCGGCTATGTGCAGCAGCACCCGAAGAGTGGTCATCTTTGGGGTGGGACAGAAGGTCTGAAAGTAGTCAACTCCCTGCCACTGACTGAACCCTCGAGCCATGTAACGGGCCTTGAAGACAGGCAGAGAACCCGGCGGCCGCTTCACCCTGAAAATCCACATGCAACTGACGATGTTTGCCTCAGGTGGGGGAACCTCGTCAACGTAGGTGCCTGTGGACTTCCAGGAAGCCATCTCTGCGTCCATGGCTGACTGCCACTGTGAGGAGTAGGGAACCTCGATCGCCTCAGCGTACGATCGAGGAGTCGGGATGTCTGGTGCATCCGGGTCTCCCTCAAGAGCAATCAGCGTGCACACGTGATGAGGCAAAGCAGCAGCAAAACACTGGAACTCCTCCTGCCTGTTCTCAAGGACGTCCGTGCTAAGAGCACACTCACCCCCAACGGACGGAGGACAGACAGACTCAGACTCAGCAACAAGACTAGCAGCGTAGTGTAGACGACAGCGAGCAGCAAAGTCGACAAGCTCAGCAACCAAGGCAGACGCAGCAGTGGACTCAAAGGAAGGGTCAGTGACAACAGTAGCCAGGAGACGCGTGACAGTAGGACTGGCAGCACGAAGAGAGTCAGACTCCGGGTCAGCAAGGACAGGAAGAGAGGACTCTGGAGGAGACGGCAACGGGACACGCAGAGGAGCAGTGGAAGGACGCAGTGCCATCTGGTGTGTGCCTGGGAGCGCAGAAGACGCGGACGCGGAGCACGACGACTAGTGCGAGCAGCACGAACAAGTGACGCAGGACGAGACGTAGGCTCACGACGCTCAGCAAGACCTCCGGTAGGACCAGTGTAGGGAGAAGGAGCAGGCAGGGGGGAGGCGTGCTGTAACTGTGACTACGACAGGACAGGCCGTGGACACTCTAAGGGAGGAGCAGGACCAGTAGAAGGCGGGAGACCAAGAACCTGCTCAAGGAGCGGAACGAAGTACGGCCGCGGCCGCGCAGTGCCTCTAGAACCAGCAGGGACAGCACCAGTACCCCCAGCGGCAGCACCAGCGCCAGTAGTACCTCAAGCTCCAACAGCACCAACTCCAGCACCCTTAGAAGCACCAGCGCCAGCAGCACCACCACCGCCAACACCCCCAGCAACTCCAGCTCGAGTAGCTCCAGCAGCTCCAGCTCCAGCAGGACTGTCAGCTCCAGTACCGCGAGCAGCTCCAGCAGTACCTCCAGCAGCACCGGCTCCAGCAGCCCCAGCAGCACCCCCAGTCCCAGCAGCTCCAGTACCGCCAGTACGAGCACCTCCAGGACCAGCAGCAACAGTAGTACCTCCAGCTTCAGCAGCACGGCTCCAGCGCCGGTCAAACCAGTCGCGCAGCTCCTGCGGAGAGAGTAGCTCTCGCCTCGACAAAGCACCGCCAGAGGCCACACGAGCAGACCCAGCACCCCCAGGCTCCGCACCCCCAGGCTCCGTACCCCCAGGCTCAGCACCCCCAGGCTCCGCACCCCCAGGCTCAGCACCCCCAGACTCAGCACCCCCAGGCTTAGCACCCATAGACTCAGCACCCCCAGGCTCCGCACCCCCAGACTCAGCACCCCCAGACCCGGCACCCGCAGGCTCAGCACCCCTAGCAGCACCAGAGTCAACAGCTACCTCGACAGGCTCGACTGCGTCTACCTGGGACACACCTGACGGGGCAGGACCCTGAGGGGGGAGGGGGTCTACCGGGGGAGGACCTGGCGCAAGGAAGAGTGGCAGCGTGGGGAGGGGCGCAGTGCGGTAGGGGAAGAGACGGTAGTAAGGCACCGACTCGTCAAAGGTGACGTCCTGGGAGGACAGAACACGGCGCAAGGTGGGGTGGTAAAACTGCCAGCCAGGCGCGTCAGGGGGGAAGCCAAGGAAGACGCAGGGAACAGCACGGGGGGACAGCTTGTCCGCAGACAAGTCGCGGACAAACGCCCGAGATCCCCAGACCCGAAACGTAGACGCATCGCCAACCTTCCCCGTCCACCGCAAGGTGGGGGAGGTCTCTGGCAAGGAGACCCGGGGCTGAAGGTTGAGCTGATGCGCTGCGTACTGAACCGCAAACGGCCACAAAAAATGGGGAGCAGCCGCATGGATCATGGACGTACGAGCGACGTCCATGACCATGCCAATGCGGCGCTCAGCAATCCCATTTTGCTGTGGAGAGGCCGGAAGCGTGAAGGTCTGGCGGATGCCGTGTGCACGACAGAAGGCTCCCAGACGGGCACAGGAAAACTCCCCGCCTCTGTTAGAGTGCAGACGCAGAACAGGAAAGTCCGAGCCGAAACTCTCTCTGAGCTGGAGACGAGCTGCGCGGATCCAGTCGATCAACACCTCAGTGACGTCACCCTTGCTGCGCAAGGGGAACACCGTGGTGTAACGCGAGTAGTCGTCAACCACCAACAGGAAGTAACGCTCGTGACCCTGGCCACGGACGCGGGCGGGGCCCCACACGTCCATGTGAAGAGTCTGCAACGGAGCCTCTGTCGGAGGAAACTTGGAGGAGTGAGGGGCGGCGCGCTGCCGCCCCTCGACGCAGGGAACG